GTGGGCCGAATATTTCCACTGACTACGGAAAGGTAAGATATTGGTTTGATACGATGCTTGGAAGGTTGTTAAAAAGGGCAATAATTCATGGAAAATTTCCCAAATAACTGCAATCAAATCTCTTCCCCAAAATTCCTATTTGCCGATTTCGTGGGGCTGAAGAAAAATTTCCTGGGGGGGCTGAATTGGAAACCTGAGCATGGGGAGGGGGGGTGGTTACCAATCGAAGTTTTTTTAACAAAGTTTCCCAGCTGCCCAGACAAATTATATTCCGAGTAGGGAAATTAATCTAACAAAATGATCCCGAATGGGTAACAATAGAGAAAGCATCTCTTTGCAAAAAAAAGGGATATAAGGCAATCAAAAAAGTGATGGACATTTAAGAAATCAGTATATTCAATTAAAGATAAAAATTAAAAAAAGAATAAGAGAAGCAAAAAGAGATTGAGGCTAAAGTCGCAAGGGATTCGAAGACTAACCCAAAAGGGTTCTTTCAGGTATACAGAAGTTGATAGGGGACAAGATAGGCCCATTTAAAAGTAACTCAGGTCAATTACTGACAGTGGTAAGGAAATGTGTGAAATTTTCAACACGTATTTTCTCTCAGTGTTTACTCAGGAAGATACTAGCAAAATTCCAGAAATAATAAATTATGCACGATAATAAACTATGCACGATTAGGGTAAAATGTGACATGATCTTCAAACAAATAGAGAAATTAAAACCCAACGAATCCCTAGGCCCTGATGAACTGTTTGCAAGGGTTTTAAAGGAATGTAAAGAGGAACTTAGTACATATCACTACAAACTGGCATAGTGCCAGACAAGTGGAAAATGACAAATGTAATACTTATTTACAAAGCAGGTGACAGGTCCTTAGCTTCGAAGTGTAGACCTTACCTCCATAGTGGGAAAATTTATGGAATCAATAATTGCCGAGGCAATTCGTAGCCATCTTGAAAGGCATAAATTGATTAATGAATCTCAGCATAGTTTTACAAAGGGGCATTCCTGCCTTATGAATTTACCAACTTTTTTCCACTAAGGTATTTGAGGAGGTAGATCATGGTAATGAATATGATTTTGTGTATAAACTGTGTTCCTCAGGGGTCAGTGTTGGGCCCTTTGTTGTTCACAATTTACATAAACGACATAGATGAAGGAATTAATAGCGACATACGAAAATTTGCTGATGACACCAAAATAGGCCGTCCAGTTCATTCTGATGAGGGCATTAGAGCAGTCCAGGAAGATTTGAATAGACTGATACAGTGGTCGGAGAAGTGGCAGATGCAGTTTAATATAGACAGATGCAAAGCTCTAGACATTGGATAGGAAAATAGCCATGCCACATATGAACTAAATAGTGTAGATCTTAATATTACTGATTGCAAAAGGATTTGGGAGTTGTGGTTAGCAGTAATCTAAAAACAAGACAACAGTGCTTAAATGTTCGCATTAAAGCGAATAGAATCCTTGGCTTTATATCAAGAAGCATAAATAATAGGAGTCCTCAGGTTGCTCAACTCTATATATCCTTGGTTAGGCCTCATCTAGATTATGCTGCACAGTTTTGGTCACCGTATTACAGAATGGATATAAATGCTCTGGAAAACGTTCAAAGGAGGGTGACAAAGTTGATCCCATGTATCAGAAATCTTCCCTATGCGGATAGACTGAGGGCCCTGAATCTGCACTCTCTAAAAAGGCGTAGAATTAGGGGGGATATGATGAGGTGTATAAATGGAAAACAGAAAAAAATAAAGGGGATGTAAATAGCGTATTATAAATGCCTAGCCAAGACAGGACTCGCAGCAATGGTTTCAAGTTGGAAAAATTCAGATTCAGGAAGAATATAGGTAAACACTGGTTTGGCAATAGAGTTGTGGATGAGTGGAGCAAACTCCCCAGTGCAGTTATAGAGGCTAAAACGTTGTGTAGTTTTAAAAATAGGTTAGATAAATACATGAATGGGTGCGGGTGGGTGTGAGTTGGACCTGACTAGCTTGTTGTACTAGGACAGATTCCGCGCTCCTTCTAAAAGTGAATGTGACCTGAACTAATTAGGTTAGGGCATTAGCTTAAGCCGGTAGGAGACATGGACTTGCCTCGCATGGGCCAGTAGGCCTGTTGCAATGTTCCTTCTTTCTTATGTTCTTATAGACTGAGGGCCCTAAATCAGCACTCTCTAGAAAGGCGTAGAATTAGGGGGGATATGATTAAGGTGTATAAATGAAAAACAGGAATAAATAAAGGGGATGTAAATAGCGTGCTAAAAATATCTATCCAAGACAGGACTCGCAGCAATGGTGTCAAGTCCGAAAAATTCAAATTCAGCAAGGATGTAAGAAAGCATTAGTTTGGTAACAGAGTTATGAATGAGTGGAACATGAGTGGGTGTGAGTGGACCTGACTAGCTTGTGCAAGTTGGTCTGATGCCATGCTCCTTCCTTAAGTGGATGTGACCTGAAACTGACTAGGTTGGGTCAGTGGCATAAGCCGTAGGCGACTTGGACCTGCCCCACATGAGCCAGTAGGCCTGCTGCAGTGTTTCTTCTTTCTTATGTTCTTAACTCTGAACACATATGCTGAGACATAAACGTTTCCTTGTATATATCCTTGTGTGTTAGATAAGGATGGATTTTGTTCAGGAATAAGGTTTTGGTGAACAAAGACGAAAGCTGGGAACGCTTGGAAGCACTTGACTTGTACTCTCTGGAGCGCAGACGAGAAATATATATAATCTACACTTTGAAAATCCTAGAAAGAATGATCCCTAACCTGCATACAGAAATCACTCTCTACTAAAGCAGAAGACTGGGCAGGCCATGCAAAATACCCCCAATGAAAAGTAGGGGCGCCATTGGAACACTAAGAGAAAACACAATAAGTGTCCGGGGCTCAAGACTGCTCAATAGCGTCCCACCAAGCATATGGGGAATTACCGATAGACCCCTGCTGCCACAAGAGGGAGCTAGACAGATACTTAGAGTCGGTGCCGAATCAGCCGGGCTGTGGTTCGTATGTTGGATTATGTGAGGCCAGCAGTAACAGCCTGGTTGATCAGGCCCTTATCCACCAGGAGGCCTGGTCGTGGACTGGGCCGTAGTGGCGTTGATCCCCGGAATACCCTCCAGGTAGACTCCAGGTAGGGGTCAATTCCTGAACCGAGAAGTGAATCGTCAAATCAATCTGTGTAAAGGACTATGACTTATTGGCTTCCCTTTCCTCCACTGATGCCGGTAAAGGGCTGCTGATTCAAGGATCCGGACATATCCTCCCCCTCCTTGACTCGAACCTAAATGCCTCTAATTTCCAAAGCTCTGCGTGACCCCTGTTGGCTTAGCGCTTCTCCTGATTAAAATAAATAAAGCATCAAAACAGCAAAAGTAGAGATATTGGATCACATGAGAGAGCTGAACATAACACAGGTTATGAGCGCCACCAAGGTACCATGAGTATTGATAAAATTTAAAAAAAAAAAAAGCTACTTCATAATGTAAAAAAATAAATTAATAACGCTTAATTTATTATTATTATTATTATTATTATTATTATTATTATTATTATATGTTTTTAATAATGAAATAGAAGAATCTTTGATTTTTCAGGCTTAAACATATCTCCTAATCGATTTTTTTGTATGTACTCAAAAAATTATTTATCACACTAACATAAGGTCTCTCTGCTCACAGGTCATGTCGGGTGTGAGGAAGTGTATGGTAATGAGCCCAGCGTGGCGCTCACTGGCACTGTCCCGAGCCTTCACTACCACAGCTGCATCTCATCAAGTAGCAGCAGCAGAACAGCGGACCTCAGAACCTAAACCAGCATCTGAAATCCCAGGACCGCGTTCCTACCCATTCATAGGCACTTTTTTCTCCATGATCTTGAACAAGTGTATGTCACAGAACAATTGATGACTGTATAATAAAAGATACCTTAAAAACACTGTACATTGGACACTGCTACGTTGTTACTGGGTCTATTATCAAGATAAATGATCCAGCGCTCATGTACACGAAGGGTTCATACATAACACGGGGATATAAAAGTTTCACATGCTCCAGAATCTAATGACTTTTCATTGGTAGCATTTCTACCACCGCTGTCTTTATATTAAGCCCTTACTTTACACAAATTATGGGTTGCAGTTTATGTAATGAACAAGGAACGGAAAAAAATGGACACTACCTGCCCCTCGTTCCCATTAGAATCTACACTGATATTATCGAATTATAAATTAACATAAAAAACACTATCTGCCCTCAATGATCCTCACTGGTTTTTGAGCTGTTTTGACAATTATAATAATAATAATAATCGTTATCATTCGCAAATAGCTCACACTTGCGAAAAGGTACTTAAGACGACGTTTCGATCCGTCCTTGACAATGGTCGAGGACGAATCAAAACGTTGCCTTAGCTTTCTTTTTGTAAATGTTGTTATTTAATAAGACAACTATTCCAGCCACGTTATTATGACTGCTCTTAATAATGATAATAATAAAAATAATAACGATAATAATAAAGAATTGTAATAGCATTATTTTCTTCGCAGCCTTTGCTAACAACAAGATTCACATCTACTTCCGAAAGATGGTAGAGGAACACGGCCCCATCATTAAAATGGAAGTCCCATTCAATCCGCCGATGGTATGCATTACGGACCCAAACGAGGTCGAGGCCTTCATACGAGACACCATGGACAACCCAGTGAGGCATGTGTTGGAATCCTTCAAGAAGATTAGACAGGAGGATGCAGACAACTATTTTGAAAACAAAACTGGCCTATTGACAGAGTAGGTTTACATATATCAGTATCTTTACTCTCTCTCTCTCGCTCTGCCTTTCTCTCTCATTATTTGATTTCCTAAAGGTATTTCTATTATCATAATCACAATGATGAGTATTATTTAAGTGATCATGTTCCAGGAATGGCCAGGAATGGTGGAGGGTACGCAGCAGAGTTCAGTCTTCTATGTTGAGGGTCAAGGAGGTGGTGGCCTACCTGCCTGTCATGGATCAGATTTCGTTGGAGTTCATGGACAGGTAAAGCATCATGGTTAGGAGAGTCGCGTCTTGGCTATGTAACTCACATCCTGGTTAAGTGATGGAGGGTCTATGTAGTTATAAATGTCCAGGATATATCGGAGAATTCTTATATAGTTGAGGAAGAGCCAAAACATGCCAGAATGATGTTGGATGTCTTAGGACATTCCTGGATATGTTAGGAAGGTATTGTATATGAAAAGACGGTGCAGGCTATGTTAGAGATGTTCTTCATATGATAAGTAGGTCCTGGATATGCTAGAGAAGTCCAGGGTAGGTAACATCGGTGATGTAAATGTTAAGACAAATCAACAGCACGTGTTAAGTATCTTGTTTTCCTTGACTAGAATGTTTAAGAAAGTGTAACGGCCTTTGTTAAGGCCTATGTGACTGTCACAAAGTTCCCAGAGGCTTATGTAACTGTTTCTCCTCTCTGAAGGAGAAGGGAGATAATTGTTTTCCTAGATACAGGCCTAAGGCAACGTTTCCAGCCAAGAGGGATGCCACCATCCAGTTCTTTATGACCGCTATAGTTAACAGTTTAATACCTGCATCGGTGGGTTTAAGCCATTCGTAATAGTACCGAATACTAAGATGTTAGATAACCTCGCATCAGCGTAAGGACTGGGCATTTATTTCATTAGCTGCCTTGGGGGACGCGACTCTTGTGAAAGCTCCTGGACCACTTATCCAGGAGACCACAGGCCCAAGACACCCATCGGAGCTCAGGTGTGCACCACACCAGGAGTGCTGTTAAAGTCTCCTTACCTCTCTTGCATCTAATTAGACAGGCGTGCAGCTAGAGGTTTGTGCAAGGTTTGGATAGTCAAAGACTTAAGGTAAAGTGGTGATGGGTCACAAGGCTCAAGTGTGATCTTTACGTCAAGAGCATCTCAGTGTGTCTTATCTACGTGTTGGGCATCTCTTCTTTAAAGTGAAGTGTATTAGAACGTTATTCTGATAATGGATCCAGGAACCAGATGTTACAATGTACAGTGCACACGATGTATGTTCTTCATACAACCTAGGGAGCACAACTGTTCTCTCAGTGAAGCTGAGTCTAGGAATGACTATGGGCTCCTCATAGAGAGATCCAGGAATCAAGTCGTAATTAGACAGTCATGCGAGTCACCTGCACTAGGCAAGGTGACAGATAAAGTTCCCACAAAACAGTAGTTAATTTATCAAATAGTTTTCGAAGTAGGCTCTTCAGGGCTCACGTTTGAACCCGCACTTCTAGTAAAAACAAAGACATTGCTTTCTGTTGGTCCCTGAACATGTAGATGTTCGGGGCAACGAGCGGGAGGACTCTGCTGTGCAGTCAGCTGTTCATGACCTCCCCTTTTAATATAGGGGTATTCCATTCTCAGATTATTTTGCTGTAATTTCTAAGCACCTTCGCAACCGTTGGCAACGACGATAGTTTGAATTGATTCGTAGCAAGTTATATAACATCACACCTTTTTTTTAGGTTTCTGGTCTTTTTTGAAGAGGGGTTGCTTCAGGGTTTAAATTTAGTTAAGTCTCTTGACGCTGGTATAGAGCCCAAGATCCAAGAAATTACAGCTGCTTTCCCACTTCGTATTAAATTTGAAAACCCTCTATTTTCCAGGTGTTATATGAAACTTAAGGTGTTTAGCAATTTCTAAATTAATTATGATATGATCTCAAGTTTTGGATAACTCCTCTGGCTCTCGTCCTCCAGAATCGCTTCACTGCAATCACAGTATGGAGAGATGCCAAGTGACTTCCTAAATGAGATGTACAAGTGGGCTCTTGAATGTACGTATCTCCTAGAACCAGTAACTACTAAACATTACTTTATTCCTGTAATACTAGATATTAGTTCTGTGATATTAGATATTAGTGCGGTAATACTAGATATTTCAAAAACAGGTAGAAAAAAATTATATTTGGCAATGGAGGAAGTCTATGCTTACATTATAATCAGGTTTAGCGCTTTTCAGTAATATAATATCTATCTCTCTCTCTTCCCCATTTTCCCTTCTCACTCTCCCCTTCTTCTACCCTTCCCTTCTCTCTCTCCCCCCCCCCTCTCTCTCTCATTCTCTCTCCCCCTCTCTCTCTCTCCTTCACCATCCCTTTTCTCTCTCATAATAACAATATTAATAAAAATTACTTTGTATTCACTTTGTCTTAAATTGATGTAATTATGACAACTTTTTTCTTAAGATTATATTTTTTTTCAATCAGCTGTTGGCAGTGTAGCCCTGAATCGTCGGCTGGGGTGTCTGGATCCAAACATCGCACCGGACTCAGAACCCATACGGATGATTAAGCTCGTAAATGAACTCTTTACTTCTCTGGTTGACGTAGAGATTTCTCTTCATATTTGGAAGTTATTCCCAACTCCAGCTTTCAGGAAACTCAGGAAGACACATCAGGAATTTCTTAAGTAAGTGATCTTCCATGAAGTCTTACGTCTCCTTGGTTCTCTGAAGATTCTATCTTGGTAAAGCTCCATCAACAGGAACCACAAATTAATAAATTTATATAATAAACACCCATATCAACCAGGTGCTACCGTCCTGCCAAATGAGTGTGAAACGAAAACCTATTAAATGTTGTACACAATGGCTACTACTATTTTCAGAGTGTATACCTCAAGCCTAGCTGTGCATTATGAGTATGCACACTCGTCTGAGTTTCCTTCTAATTTTTTAATAGTATTTCCTTTTAATTCCATAGGGATGTGAAATAGAGGTCTTTCTCTGTATGCAATACTTGTAAAATGCAACTAAAATGCCAGGAGCAAGGGACAAGAATCAATTGTTAAAAAGACAATGAAGGAAATTGTAAAATTCGGCCATTTGTAGCACAGATGAAAAGAAAGAACCGATTGTTAATGTTTTGAATGAAAAAAGGTTAAATGTCTTACTTAGCACTAGGCGAAGGAAAGCTGATAATAATAATAATAATAATAATAATAATAATAATAATAATAATAATAATAATAATAATAATAATAATAATAATAATGAGTTTTTTTAAGGAATGAATTGACACCATAATGAGTTGTGGCTAGCAACAGCTCTGCGAGCATTTTGCCTATTATGATAAATTAACTGTTACGATGAATTTATTGAAGAGTGATACTAAATATCTGTTAGATTTAATATAGCTGATGAGTTTACTCTGCTGATAAATGGATGGAACATATCCTTTGCTTGTTAATATCTCATCGTCGAGTAAATATTGCCTGAAACGTCATTAGTGAAAGTCTTGACAAGTGCAGAATTGCGGATAAGAACATCCGAGAGACGGAGGCGGCGTTGCTGGCGAAGGAGCCTAGTGATGACCGGGAACTGACACTGATGGAGGGACTGCTCCTCAAGCCAGGACTCTCCCGCAAGGACGTGGTCACCCTCATCCTCGACATGCTCTTCGCTGGCGTTGATACAGTGAGAATAACATACAAGGATTTATTAATTATTGGGTCTGTAATAGAACAAAATACCGGCTCACCTGTCTAATGGGGCCAAATTATTAATGAGGAAAAACTTTACCGAATAATTTTTTTTAAACTAATCTATGCTTAATTGTGTTACACTGAGCTTGCTACACAATGGATCCACACTCAGTATGACTTCCATTAATAGGTTCGTGGAAGGTTCTTCTCACTTAAACATTGTCAATCCCTTGATATATTCCCTCTAATATAACTGTGCATTACTTAATAAATGTTATAAGAACTAAATTATTTCAGTCACCTTTCATTTCGAAAAAGATATTCCTGTACCCCATAAACCTAGTATTGTTACTTGAGTGTGGGTACCATTTTACCACTTTTAGTCTTGTAATGTATTATATTATTTTACACTAAATTACTGGAGTATCGCTTCTCAAAGGAGAGCAGGTGCCTCGACGCTGGAGTGGCTTTCCATTCACTTGGCTGGCGCTATATGACCTATACAGATTTAAGGCTTTACCCTGATAAAAAAAAATAAAAACAGCTTTCAGCACCATCAAGCTTTCATGGCTAATGCGTCTTATGAAATGGATAAAATACTTGGGGATTTAGGCTGTGTAGGTGCAGATTTTACTGGATTCTTGTCAGCATCTGGAGAATACATCTACCGGGCGGTTTTAATTTTTAATTAATGAAGTGTTTTCTTCAAAGAAAGTTTCCCTTGAATTTAGATTGTGTAACTTTAAGGTCCCAGTTTTATTATATAAATTTATTCCCACTAAATATCTCGAGAATGTCTCCTCTGATTAGAAATAAGTTAGTGATTCACTTTATTATATTAATTTAGGTTAAATATACATTGTACACATTTTTATGTATCCATACTATCTATGTGATCTTAAGATCTTTGTAAAAACATCTTCACTTCTTGATTAAAAATTAGCTGATAAAATACAACATATTTTGTATATAATATATATGCCTTCACCTATATTTATCAGTATTTCTATATATAACGTTCTCAGACGTCGCACAGCCTTAGTTTCGCGCTGTACCTGTTGGCTAGACATCCGGAGGTGCAGACACGACTGCAGGAGGAGGTAGATACTGTGCTCGGGGACCACAAAGGTCCACTCACTTACCAACACCTGGCCAAGTTCCACTACCTCAAGGCTGTTGTTAAAGAATCTATGAGGTATAACTTGAGCTCATTAATGCATGCATACAAGTAAATACAGTAACAATATTTTTTTGGCTTATGTCATAAAATCAATTTGCTACATCATGAAATAATTACTACTTAATGCAGCATTTATAACGAGCCTCAGTTAAACGTGCATCGATTAAAATTACGTAAAGTCAGTATCTCACAGCCTCTTAAATATTATTTTTTTATTACAGGATGCTCATGCAATTTATTTTATCACTTTCAGGGTGATTCCTAGTGTGATGGCGTTTGCAAGAATTCTTGAAAAGGATCGTGTTATCAGTGGATACTTAATTCCTAAAGGGGTGTGT